ATAGGCTTCAGAACAAAGCAACTATACTTGGTTTTTAACACAATGGGAGGAGCTGCTAGGCTGGTCACACTGTACACATGCCTACTTTAAAACACTGGCAGTTTGAAAATAGATGCAGGTGCTCTGTGACAGGCATTTAAATTAGTTGCTCTTCTTTCTGTTTTTCTTTAGAGGCTGAGAAGATATAGAATACGTGTAGAGTACGTAGATTTATTTGTGAAGTTTTGTATAAACTGAGTCACTCTTAAGTTATACTAGCAAATGAAATTAAATAACATGTAATTCTCCCCCTTACTGAATTATAGTTCAGACAAGGAACTGAAGCCCAGCAGTTCTAATGTGGGGTCCCACAAGGGCCTGTGAGGCCAGAGTCAGCACTAGGGACATGCAGTCCAAGTCCTTTCTCACAGTGCATGGATTGTCACAGATCTAACATTTAATCCATTCATTCTTCATTTAATAACTTCAATTTTGAAATATTCAAGAAGAAAGTAGTAAACTAGATAGCTGAAATTTAATCAGCAGACTATGATTGTACATTCCTTCAAAACTAGATTGTTTTAAAAGTGAGTTAATATTAAGATTTTACATACCTTTAAAACTAGATTGTTTTAAAAGTGAGTTAATATTAAAAGCCTTTTGCTGCTTTTAAATATTTTAAAATCTGATTTTAGAAAACTCTTTTAAGGCCTATTTGGATTTCTATTTTATATCTTGTGAAGTTTGACTTTTTTTTATGACGTTTTATTTTGTCTGTCTTACGGAATCCTAAGAATAACAAATACATACAAAAATAATTAGATAATCTTAGTAGAAACATTTAGATGGTGAGAAATCCTCAGTTTCAGTGTTTTGAAATAGAATTCTAAAATGTGGTCTATACTCTTTAAAAATCTCAAAAATTTATGTGTAGCTCACTCAGATATCATGTCTTGAAAGCCTCACTAAGAATGTCAGATATTTATATGTGGGGATATAATCACATATATTGAGTATCTATATAGAGAGAGTTAATAAACAGCATATAATGATGATGAAATGGCACACCTTAACAATGAATTGTTAATATTCCATTAGGTACCGGGTCTATCAGGTAAGATAGAAGTCAGTCAAAATGATGATGATTTTGGTTATTGTACATCTCAGAGACCATTTGCCCAACTTTTTGGAATCTGATTTGAAAGCCTTTTGATTTCACTGCCGTGTGTCATATTCAGTTCAACTTCACCTGGTGTCGCATTTTCTATCCTTTTCATGGTCAATATTTGCTAATATTGTCACATGACATTTTAAATGTCTTCAGCCTTGAGAAGCCAGAAATAGATAAATTGAAAATTTTAGAAGACTATTTTTCTAGTCAAAAAATAGAAATCTGTTGCAGCTCTGGGAATTCATAGTCATAGAGTCTTTAGTATGTCAAGATAGGTTGTTCTAATGCCACACATTGTAAAAAAAATTATTATTTTTCTTTAACTATTAAAGCCTAGTATTAGCAAAAAAAAAGTTATTTCAAATAAAACAAGCCTATAGGAACCAGAATCTAAAAATATTTCCTAGCTTAATCTAAATTACTTAAAATAATTTCATCAGCTGCCATGGATATATCTATAAATCATTTTTCTTTTTATAAAAACATCTTTTGTTTTGATAAGCTATATAATGATATATGTCTTGTTAAGTGCAAATAATTTTCTCTTTGTTAGGTGTCACATCTCATTTTATATATGTAATTCTAAGACATGTTTAACTAAAGAAAAACATTTGATATTTATTTTTACTATTTATATCTACCAAAAACAAATAGATGTTTCTGAGCTTCCAGGATGAATTTTTAGTACATTTTAATTCATATTTTTAATTCAGATTTGTAAAATATTCACATTATTATGAATGTCACTATTGTATTGGACTCTATAGTATACCAAAAACTTCTGACAAAAATTACTGTTCTATGACCAGTGTTAAAATAATGTAACAGCTTTAAAAATTCTAGTGGTATGTTTGTAAAGTCCGACATGTTTTACATACTGTTACAATTTCAATGGAACCTCAATGGAATTCAACCACATTGTTCATTAATTTTGACTAGAATTTCCTAAAAGTCAACTAAAAAGCATTATGATATGCAGTTCTAAACAAAGAATTGATTTTTTAAAAAACAGTTTTCCTATATCAAACCACAGAATTCCTAAAGTATTTTATCAGAGTAGTAAATTGGTGGAATCTACTTATCTACGGATTTAATACCTAATACAATAACAATCTTCTATCAATATATGGCTAATTGCAGATATAAAGTATCTACTGGTAGTTCATCTCTCATAAAACCGCCTTTAGCTTTAATTCAAGTCCATTGATTCCTATTCCAGTTAAAGCTGAAGAACTTAATATGTCTTTTAATCCTTTTATTGTAAGCTAGGATAAAATTAATTTTACCCCAGAACTGCACAAAGCCAATTAACATGATCTTTAGAGTTATTTAGTAAAGTGCTTCAAATTGTTACATTTATCTTGACCTCTCAGTTGCACCCTCCAACTGCTTTTTAAATGAAGTAATCAATATCTCAGAGCCCTTTTAATAGCTTAAACTTCTCAAATATTTTACCTGTCCTCCAGTTAAGCTGTAAGCAAAGTGTTTATTCTTGTTCCTGTAAATCTGGAGTCAATTATGCTAAATCTAAAGACAGTTGTGTCCTTTTGAGAAACCCTATGAATTAAATGGTTGTTTTAATGAAATCAAACCCCTCATGTTGTGTTAAGAGTCGCCCAGTCATCAGGAAGCATCATGCCCACACAGAATGTATTTTCTGTTTGCAACTTCAATACAAGACATTTATGTCCCTCACCATCCAGTTCCTTCTATTTTCTGCACAGGGTAGTTGAAGGTATTAATTTTCTTACTGTGATAGGGTGATCAACTGTCCTGTCAAGAAAATGGATCTCTATGTCACCCTTTAGCATGATTAAATGGAGCCATGTCTCTGTGAAAAAAAACAAACAAACCAGATTTTCATGAAACTGTGGGAAGACTTATATTTAAAGAATTATTTTATTTTTAACATCTCCAGATCTCCCTTTTGATCGGCAGTTTCATTTATAGGAAAACATTGCAGCTAATTAACACATTTTTTTTTAAACAGAAAATGTAGACCAGACCAATAAAGGAAAGACATTTCCAAATCCCGGAAACTAAAGGCAGGTTTGCCGTTATTTTTGGCACAGCACCAGTGATGCATCTGGCCTCTTAGTCACTCAGTGCTCAGTGTCTCTCTCAGTGGGGCTTCTTTTTTTATTTCCTTGTTCACAAAGGGCTATCTTTTTACATTTGAGTGATTATAAAAATTAAATACTGAATGTTAGCACCACTAGAGTTAATAACTGTTTCGACAGTGTTATTATGAGCCCAAGCACATGCCAAACTTTAAATTACACCAAGTGATGTAATTAGGATTTCATATTTTGCCACTTAGCAGAGGGCACCTGTTACAATCCTTACTATTAGTTTAGGGATAAAATGTATAAATGGCTGACAGAAAGTACTGAATTAAACTGATGTAAAGTCTTAATTCCCTCCTCAGGAGTGGGAGTTAAGACAAGATTGAGGTAATTAAACAGAAGGGACATAGAGAAGGTGGGGGCCAGGGTGAGAGTGGAACTCTTCAAATGCCCCTTGTTTAATTTCCTACTGGAAGCTGCCCATGTGTACTGCTGCGCCCCTCCCCCACCAGCCTGGCGTTGCAGAGGCTGAGCGGCTGGGGTCAATGCCTTGCCTATTGATCAGTATCCCTGCAGTCCCTTGCTCTAGCAGCTGCTTCATCGGCTTCTTTCAGGGCCTGCTTCAGTACATTAGAATAGAAATCCATAACCAGAGCTGTGCTCATCCAAGCAGGGGAAGAAACTAAATTAAATGGTATAAAACAATCTTGGATCAGGAGTTTGTGCCAATTCATCTTGATCTAAGATGTCACACCGGGCTCTCTGTCTGAGCACCTGGGCTAGAGGCAGCCATAGTGAAAATAGATGGAGCTGCGATCATTCATTTGTCAGCTAAGGAGCGAGGCAGCAGTTAGCAATTCCCTTCTGCAGAGGTCAGCTGACAGAACAATCAGTGCAACTGCGGAATAGAGCTTTCCTTTGAACTATTGTTGTGGAGCACGCTCCTGCTGAGGCGTGGGGGAGGGGAGCGAGTTGCTTCCTATTTCCAGAACCCTGTGTAAAGAGTAAAGCATACAGTGCCACAGAAGATGACTCTAGTTGCAGTTGCTATGAGCTCTGACTCCTTGTGTACGTAAAGAAGGTTGGGTTTCAGTGAATGCACAGAGATCTAGGTTATCAAACTGTTAAATGTGACTTTGTCTAGAATTCAGGTCCTTTTAAACAGAGGAAGTGACTATTGATGTTTCTTCTCTAGTGTCCTGAAGCTTTTCCATTCTTTCCTCCTTTTTTAATACTTGTTAATATTTCTAATTAATATTTCTTTTGTCTTTACAAACATTTCCGTGAAGTGGAAAAATGTAATGTTATATATAGATTGAAAATTTTTCTTAGTACAAAATATTTTTAAACATCTAATACTGCAATTTTATAGAAGATGTAAGAAATGAGATGTGATTTTTTTCATGACCTTAAGAGTTATGTTGTCATTTTGTAACATCAGAGGAGCTTCATGATAAAACAGTGCACACGTGATCTGAAATGAACACATAAGATTGCTCATGGTATTAAAAGGAGAAATAACTCAAATTTATAGGGAATTAGCATGTTTTAAGGAATAAATCCATAAATATTTGGAGCTTTCTGCACTTGACTTGAGAGCTATTGACAAGGCGCTTTCATCTGTGTGAAGCATTGACAGATTCTTGTCCCACTCTGGTGTCCCAGTGCCATTTTCTGAAAATAACTATTCTTTCTGAAGTGCGTAATCTACAATGTTCTTCCAAACACATAGACTTTTTGTAATGGTATTCTTTCAATTTGAATTCCTATATTTTGGTCTTTAGGTTGCTTATCAAGTGTTCCACAAATGAAAAAAATTTCCACTTCTTATGAAGAAAGAAGGAAGCAGGCCACGGCTATTGTTCTCCTGGGAGTGATAGGGGCAGAATTTGGAGCTGAAATTGAACCACCGAAACTGCTGACCAGACCTCGAAGCTCTAGTCAAATTCCTGAAGGATTTGGCTTGACAAGTGGAGGCTCCAACTACTCACTGGCCAGACATACTTGTAAGTTCTCAGATTTCTGATGCTGATCCACTTGATTTTTAAGACATTGTCTTTGTTAACACAATATCAAAAGATTGACTGTATCCTGAGGTTTTAGCTTATCTGTAATAGTAAGTGAGGTTAGGAAAGAGTACCATACCACTCTGGCTTCATTGCTCTTTAGTTATAATTGCTCGAGTTTCATTTTAAAGTTAAAACTTGATGTTTTCAGTTCTTCTCTAAAGAACACATTCCTGAAATTTGTGCTCTTAAATTATTGATCAAGAGTCTTCTCCAAAATGTTTGAAAGCATGTGTGCATACACATGCATGTGTACACATGTATGAGCACACACACAAGCACACACACACAAACCCATGCACATATACACTGCAGCACTCACGTCAAAAACAATAGTTAATTAATAGAGGTTGTGTTTTAGATTTGAGTGTCCATGGCCCAGAGAACACAGAGCTAGGTTACCCCAGTCCCTTGTTCTCTTCTGAAAGTAGTTTCATGAAGTTTTATAGTAACAGAGAGAAGAAAGTAAACAACTAATTTAAAACTACATCAGTAGCCACATCAGCAATACAGTTACAGTCTCTGAAGCCATCTGATGATATTCTTAGCTTTTGAGTTGATGGAAGCTAGAGGTTTGCTAACTTAATAGATTCCAAAAGGTTTTTAATCTCTCCTACACAGGTGCTAGTTCTTACATCGGGGTGGCAAGGAATGGCTATTTAGAGAACTAAAGCTCACCTGGAATAAGATAATTAAGCCTCTGAATCTGCAGCATCCTAACCTCTAGATGCCAGTGCAGTTCTAATCAGCCAGTCTGTGCTTTCAGACACAAGTGTATTTTCGGAGCATCCTCACTCACAAAAGCTAGTTTCAATTAAAAACTTGTAAAATAATTTCTGGAAAACCATGTCACTGCCACTGGATAGGATTTGCAAAGTTGCACCAGCGATGGAACATAGAAAATAGAACTAGCATGAATGGCCTCTGTAATTAAAAAAAAAAAATCTCAATAACAATTTTAAAGCGATACAACTATTGCAATTCTTCTCACGGGTCTTGCAGTTCTGTGAGTGCTGTGCATGGGAACAGTGGATGTAAGGTGTTTTGTAACGAGGCCTGTTGGTGTTGAACCTCTTTCAAGTAAGACCAATGTCTTCTTCCCGTGTCACAGAAGCATTTCTAATGAGTTGGGACATCTTTTTATTTATTTAATTTTTGAGACATGGTCTTTCTATGTAACCCTGGCTGGCCTGGAACTCACAAAGATCTGCCTGCTTCTTCCTTTGGAATGCCAGGAGTAAAATTGTTTATCTACAGCCCCTGCTGAATTGTAACATCATTTAAGGGCAATGTATAATCCTGCTGATATCAGGAGATGTTCTTCTTTTAAAAGATTAATTTTTTTAAATGTCAATTTTTATTTAAATTATGTGTATGTGTTATGGGTATGGTTAGTTGTTCTATGGATTAATTTATATCTCATTATTCAGGATTTGTAGAGTACTTCTCATATCATTTTTAACCCATGGTTTGTCTATATAAAAGTCTGAGATTCATGAATGTACTTCCATAGGTCTTATCTTAAATCGATTTGCACACTAGAAAACTATAACTAGAAAAAGAAGAAACGGTTAAGGGAAAAGGAAAAGTTGTGGCAGGACAGAAATGGAGATTTCTTTTTCCAATGAAGTTTTGGGGATTTAATAAGGAATTTTAAAGGATGTTTATATTAGTCAGGGTTCTTTAGAGGAAAAGCACTAAAAGAAAAAAACAAAGGAAGACTATATAATATATGCTAAAATATACACTAAAGAGACGTTTATTAGACTTGCTTATAGGCTGCAGCCCTGCGAGTCCAGTACTAGCCTTTCACTGCTGTCTTTAAGGGCTCAGAGGGGTGCAGTGCTGCCGTTTACACTCCGCCCTGTAAACCAGGCCCTAGTCTTCTCCTCATTCAGCTGAGCTCTGTGGATGCTGGAGAGAAGAGTCTCTTCCAGGGCATACTTAGAAACCTTTGGACTGCATGTCTGGAGCAGTTCATGGAAATCTCTGAGTTCATTCTTTTCCTTGTCACTATATACTGGGATGATGCTAGATGTTTGTTGGCTTTTTGTTTGTTTGTGGAGCTCATTCTTTGCAGAGATGCTAGACTCAACCAGCCAGCATCACTATTTTACTTATTTTTCTGCAAAAGTTTTATGCCTAGAGTCACTGAATTCCTTGCTCTTCATAGTAAGTACATCAGGATAGTCAAAGACATTTATCTTGATAAGTTCTTTTAGTAGGTAAGTTCTTTAAATAGTTCACACCATGAATTTTTAATGCTCTACATGAATCTAGGTGAGTCTTCAGTAATTGGATATATCAACAAAGTGGAAAGTCTGTTCCAGATACTTTAAAAAAAATCATCTTTATACTTCTGTTTCTTTAGTACTGCCAACTGTATTAGTCAGGCTTTTCTAGAGCAATGGTTTGCAACCTGTGGGTCATGACCTTTTGGGGGTCATATATCAGATATCCTGCATATCAGATATTTATATTAAGATTCATAACAGTAGCAAAATTACAGTTATGAAGTAGAATAAAAAAATTTTATAGTTGAGGGGTCACCACAACATGAGGAACTGCATTAAAGGATCACAGCACTAGGCAGGCTGAGAACCACTGACCTAGAGGAACAGAAGTGACAGAATAAACATTTATAATGCACACACACACACACACACACAGAATTTATTAGAGCGGCTTACTCTGGCCTTCCTAGCCGAACACTGGACAATGGCTGTCTCCAGTGGAAAAGCTAAGAACCCATTAGTTGTTTATGAGGCTGGATGTCTCAGTAGGTCTTCATTCTTTGAATTCTGAAGCAGTTAGGTTCGTAGTGGTATAGTAATGCCTAAGCAACAGGATTTGCCAGACAAATTTGCCAGTGAAAGTGAGGGCAAGTCGGCCAAAAGCAAAAGCTTCCTTCTTCCATGCTCTGTTTTATGGGCTGCCACCCAAAGGGCAGCTTTGAGGTGGGTCTTCTGACTCAAATGATCCAAATCTAGGGTTAGAATCTTTGACTAAAGAAGTTTTAGAGTCAGATGGTCCCTGAGAAATGATACCTGACAACGCCCTCTAGCTTTCATGTGTATGTACTCACACATGTACAGGGAGACACATACATGTGTACTCACATGACAATGAGTGTATGCACATGTACAACTATCTCATGACTATTAAAATAATGTAAGGTAAATCTAATTTAAAAAAAAAATAGGAAAGGCATTTTAGAACCAAGTCTAGGCAGTACTGCATCATATAATTTAACATAGGATTTCTTGCTAGAAGTCTCTGAGAAATCAATCATTTCCTAAAAAAGGAAACCATCATCTAACCAAATCTTCTAACCTCAAATGAGCCAAAAAAAAATCTTTTACAGGTCTACTCAACCGCTCTGGATTGAGTTGATTCTAAATGTAGTCAGGTTGACAGTCAAGATTAGCCGTTACAGTGCTAGTACTGAAATCCTAGACTTCTGGAAAGCACTACATGTGAAATGATCTTAATGTGTGTTTCGGGCCTGAAGTGTTTCTGAACCACTGACTGAAATTTGCTGTATTAAGGAGTTTTTGTCCATCCTTCACCATCCCAGGGATGACAAAAGATACCAGACATTTTAACAATCTAAGGGTTTTAGAACATGGTATACTCTTTGAGAACTTTGCATATTGGACTGGATATGGAAAGAGATGAAGTTTCTGTTTCTTTGGCAAATTATAATTATGATAGTTTCCTTTTTTAGGAAATGATTGATTTTTTTCAGAGACTTCTAGCAAGAAATCCTATGTTAAATTATATGATGCAGTACTGCCTAGACCTGGTTCTAAAATGCCTTTCCTATTTTTTTTAAATTAGATTTACCTTACATTATTTTAATAGTCATGAGATATTTGTACATGTGCATACACTTATTGTCATATGAGTGCACATATATGTGTCTCCCTGTACATGTGTGAATACATACACATGAAAGCTAGAGGACATTGTCAGGTATCATTTCTCAGGGTCCATCTGACTCTAAAACTTCTTTAGTCAAGGATTCTACTGGCCTGAAACTCTACAGGTAGGCTGTGCTGGTGCCAGTGACTCTCAGAGAGCTGCTCATCTGTACCTCCTCAGAACTGGGCTTATAAGCATGTATCTTCATGTCTGACTTTTTAAAATGCAGACTCTGGGGATTTAACCAGGTCCTTAGGCTTGCAAAGCAAGCTCTTTACAAACGGAGATGTCTTCCCAACCCAGGTATAAAATATTTTAAATGTAATCATGTATTTGCTCTTAATTTCCATAGCATAACCCTATATTTTATTGAAAGGTCTCATGTTCATTGGTGATGGACTTGCCTATAGTAACACATGATTTTTGAGACCTTCATTTTTCAAATAGGAATATCTTGATTAAGTTTAAGTCTTGTTCTGCTGTTTGGAAATAGATGTCTAACTGCCTGGTATCTTGCTTATCTCCTTTCAGTCTGTCATATATAATATTAATCAACCATAATGCTGTCTTCCTCCTCTGTTTCTGTCTTGTTCTATGGCAGTTAGAATGCATCATTACCATTAAATATTTATTCTATTTGGTCTCTTATTGAATGAGTAATAATTATAATTTTGAGATAAGGCCATTAACATGCAATATTTGATGAACTTTAATTACTTTAATTATATTAATTACTTTTTTGTTGCTGTAATAAAACACCATGTCCAATGCAACTTGTTTTATTTTGGCTTAGCTTTTCAGAATCAGGGATAGCATGGTGGCAGGAACAAGAAGTGAAAACTCCCATCTTGAACTTACACCTGATGTATTTATTGAAATAACGTGAAAGAAAAGCTGTAAAAACTCTGAAATTAACGAGAAGCCTAGAATAGGTTACACTGTTTCCATGTGTCCTTGAGTTATTTAGTTCCTTTTTGGTTGCAGTATGCTCTAAGAAATAAGTGAGGGAACCTGTT